GTGTGGGAGTGAGGGGCTGGGGTCAGTGGGTCCAGAGTGAGGGGCAGCAGCAGGGCTTGAGAGGTGGTGGCTTGTCAGTGAGCAGAATGGGCAGGGGCAGGGCACCAGCTTGTCACTGCCCCCCACCCCCACCCCTCAACCCCTTGGAAAAATCTCACCCTCTGCTGTGCCTTGTCTCCCTACTAGATGCTGCACAAGAACCACCTGCTACCACTTCCCCTTAAACACTCCCATCCCCAAATTTCCTCTCCCGTCCATCTCATCCGAGGAAACCAGCACCCACCAACTGCCCACAGGGGTGAAGAGCAGGCTGTGCACAATCAGGGCCATGAAGCCTTGTCTGGGAGTGGCTGCAAGGCACCAGGTTGCAGGGCCTGACACCCCTGTTCACACCCCAGCACAATCTCTTCCCACCATGAGGAGAAAGCAGCTGTGCTGCTTATAGGGTGAGCGAGATGCAAATCAGGGGCAGGCCGTCCCATATAAAGCTGTGTGTCTGGCTTACCGGGATGTACCCACAGAGGCAGCCTGAAGCCTGTGGGGTCTGTGCAGTGACTGGCCATCACCTCCAGAGCTTCACCTCCAGAGCCAACAAAGATGGGACCTGGGCTCCACCTCCTTGTCCTGGCAGCAGTGCTGGAAGGTATTTGGCACACTTGGAGGCCAGGACATGGAGGGGACAACTGCATTGATCCCATCCTGATACTAGTTACTCTTGCTTCATAACTTGGTTTTCAGGTGCCTGGTCCCAGGTGCAGCTGGTAGAGTCGGGAGGAGATGTGAGAAAACCTGGAGACTCTCTGCGCCTCTCCTGCAAAGCCTCTGGGTTCACCTTCAGTAACTACTACATGGGATGGGTCCGCCAGGCTCCTGGGAAGGGGCTGGAGTGGGTTGCTTATATTAGCACATCCTCCTCTCCCATATACTACGCTGACAGTGTTAAGGGGCGATTCACCATCTCCAGAGATGACTCCAGCAGCCTCCTGCACCTCCAGATGAACAGCCTGAGAGCAGAGGACACGGCCCGGTATTACTGTGCTAGAGACACAGTGAAGCAAATCCTATTAGAGCTAATGCAAAAAACCCTGAGCACAAACTCCACTTGTGCCCTGTCCCACAGGAGGCTGCAGGGACCAGAGCAGCACAAGGCCAGGCCCAGTGCTGGACGGATCCGACCTGTTGGTGTCAAGAGTTAACACTTTCTTTCACTGCACCAGTCACACATTCCTCTGCATGGGGTGACTGGGTGCACTGGACTCCACACTCAGCACTGGAGCCAGTCCTGATGGGAGGGCAAGGGCAGGGGCTGCACTCCCAGATCTCTCTCGCGAGAAGCCTGGGGACTCTCAGTCTCCCCCCTCAGCAGGCAGCTGGCCCATTTTAGTATCATAGGCAAACTTGGACAGCGTGCTTTCCACCCCCTCATCCAAGGTGCTGATGAAGATGTTAACCAGTGCAGGCCTGAGGACCGAGCCCTGGGGTACCCCACTGCTCACATCTCACCAGGTTGAGTACAACCCGTCCACCACTACTCTCTGGGTGTTCCCCATCAGCCAATTTTTGACCCATCCAACTATGTAGGCATCAGTGCCACAGTCACTTAATTTATTGGTGAGGATGGGGTGAGAGACAGTGTCAAAGGCCTTCTAAAAGTCTAGAAAGACTACGTACACGGCGACACCATCATCCAAGGATTTAGTTCCTTGGTCATAAAAAACAACCAGGTTCATCAGGCAGGATCTGCCTTTAATGAACCCATGCTGATTGCCCCTGAGCATGATCTCCCCTGCAGGCCCCCCACAGATGTGCTCCTGGAGGATTCTCTCCAAGATCCTCGCCAGGAGCGAGGTGAGGCTTACAGGACTATAGTTACCTGGGTCCTCCCTTTCTTGAATATTGGGACCACATAACCTAGTTTCAAATCCACCGGCACCTGGCCAGATGACCACGGATGCTCGTACAGAAGGGCAAAGGGCTCCACGATGACCTCTGCCAGCTCCGTCAACACCCTTGGGTGGAGTTCTTGAATATTGGGACCACATAACCTAGTTTCAAATCCACCGGCACCTGGCCAGATGACCACGGATGCTCGTACAGAAGGGCAAAGGGCTCCACGATGACCTCTGCCAGCTCCGTCAACACCCTTGGGTGGAGGGCATCTGGACCTGCAGATTTAAACATGTCTAGCCCTGCCAGAAGATCCCTAACTACCTCTGTGCTGACTGGAGACCTGACAGAGCTATCCCCAAGATTGTCCCTACATCTGGAAGGTGGGATACCCCGGTCCCTGTTCAAGAAAACAGAGGTAAAGCAAATGTTTAAAATATCAGCTTTCTTGTCTGGCATAGCCACAAGGTTACCTTTTGCATCTCGTCTTCATGCTGTGGTCCCTGTGCCCGAGTGCTGGCCTCGATGGTGAGGGGCACGCTGGCCTGGGTCCCTGCCTCCATCCACTGGGAGAGGAATCTGGTCCTGATTATATAAGAAGTAACTGGTCAGAGGTGGATCATGGACTGAATTCAACCCCAACAGCTCCTTTGAAGGAAGAGCTCCCCTACCTGTACCCACCACTGCTCCCAGCACCTCCATCCTGCCCTGGCGCTAGAACACTACACACCACAACCCCAGTTCCCAACCCACGACCTGTTCGGTTCCCCACCTGCCCCT